GAGAGAGAGAGAGAGAGAGATAGAGAGGGTTGTACAATACAACATTTTAAAGCATACGCGTATGGAGAAATTTTGTTGTATACAAATCAGCTCCCATTTATTTTGCTTTAGCATGACAATTAATTAATTTAGGCAACTGCATCGGAACTGATTTAATCTTTGCAATCACTTTATATTAATAATCATTAATAATAATAATTACAATAAAAATATTACATTAGTAGATTAAAACCCGTGGAACCCATAGGTGTTGATTTTTAATTGAATTTAAAAATTATTTATTTAATAAAATAATAATTCATTAATTTAGAAAACGTATGAATTGTAATAATATATTTTTCAATAATTTTTTGATTTGTAAGTATTTAATTACACATTAAATGGTAAGCACTTAATTGGAAATGAAGATTTTTTAAAACCCTTATTTTTGGTGCTTGATTGTCATTGAACATAATGCATTACGAATTTGTGTAATGAAATTAACATAAAAAAACAATACGTAATTATAAATAAATAAAGTAATATGATGGATTAAGTGTGATTTGATAAAAATGAATAAAATATGCTACAAAAAAAGTTGGCTATAAATTTCGAAAAACTTCCTTATAAACGACATTGAAAGTTTTATTTGTGACTTTTCCATTTTTATCTAAAATTAATAATTGTAATCTCTCTCTGCTTTTAATTCTAGATAAGGCAACATACAATTGTCCATGTGAAAAAATTGGATCTTTGAGAAACAAACCAATCTTTGATAACGATTGTCCTTGACTTTTATTAATAGTCATCAAAAAACATACGACTAAAGGAAACCATCTTCTTGTGAATTTGAAGGAAATTTTTTTTTCTGATGGAGTTAAAGACATTATTAGAATAAAATTCTGGTTTCCAATATTAGTTCCAATTGTTATACATGCCTCAATCACACGTTTGCCCAATGATATCACCTATAGTCTTGTGCCATTACATAAAGTCGTTTTTCTGATCAACATTTCTCAGTAACATTACTAGAACACCAATTTTTAAAACTAACTTAGAATTTGGTAAATCGGATACTTTGAGACCATTTAATATATCAGGAGAGCATAAATTTACATTAAACTGATCATTAACAATTTCAGATTCACATATGCTGTCAGAACTTAAATATTCAACTTCATCTCCTGGAAACTTCTTAAGCAGACGGTTGTTTATTTCCTGAACAACTTCATTTTTTAGAGCAATGATAGGTGCATTTTATGCACCTATTTTGCATGTTTATTTCCATCTTTTTATAGCATTCTACTTCATAATTCTTGCATTTAGTTGATTATTAGGGTAGTTGCATATTTCATTAAGAATGTCTGGTACTTCACTATTTTTGATTTATTTTGCAGGCATTATGGAGCATGGAACATGGAGCTTGGATGCATGGATGCATGGAGCTTGGATTCTTGGAGCTTTGGAGCATGCAGAGAAGATGAACCGGTCATTCCATGGAGGAAAGCATGAAGACATAACCCGAGTTATTGTTGCATTATCTTCATAGAAAAGGATTACGTTTGAAACACGGTTCTTGTCACTTTGACATGGGTCATGTTTGTCCTTTATCATTTCATATTTGAGCAACATGACGCGTGGTGAAGCTGGACTGAAGATGGAGCCAACAGTGAAGACTTTTTGGAATTTTAGCAAAAAAGCATGAGCCATGCCAAAAACACATGGTCAAGACAAATGGCCATGCCAAAAAA